ATCACATTCAAAGTTGTAGTTTAAATCAACCAATCACATTCAAAGTTGTAGTTACGTGCGTGCGTGTGTGCGCTTTTGTGTTTTTGGCGCCTAATTGCCGGTAGCAGACGCGGTGGCCTTAGAATGTCTACATCTCCTTTGTAGGTATTTTAATGCAAATTTTTCCCTTTCTTTCATAACTTGGCTATTCTTCTTTTCTCAGAAATTGTAAGTTTTTATGATTAATTGGTAATAAGACTTCGTGTCGTCCAATTCGGTCTGTAATCATACTCGTGATAAACAAATCGGACTCCCGCTGGGCGGTCGTCCGATTTTGTTATGATAACCGACCGAATTGGACTCCACTCAGTCCTATTACCATTACTAATAAATACTCTTCTTTTATACAGCTTTTAGCTGCAAAATTGAGAATCTTTCAGCTACATGTAAATCCTAGACCTTTGCGTGAGAAATTGCGCCGCGTTTCTCCTAGACACTGCGCAGTTCTTGGCGGGACAATTCCGTATCTTTTCTACATTTTTGGCTACAAAATACAGGGCTTTACCTATACATTGCGTATTCTTCGGCTACAAAGGGCACATTTTTGGCTACAAATTACAGGATTTCCTAGAATTTGCGTATCTTTTAGCAAGAAACTGTGCAAAATTATTCAAGAAAATGGCTCAACGCTCGGCACGTTTAGCTCCAAACTGTTACATTACTAGCAAATTGCTGTTCAAGTACACAATGTCTGGTTCAAACAATGCCACTGTAAGTTGCACAAAATTTCGTAACTTTAAAATACATATTGTATGGCGAGGAATTGTGCAGGTTTTAGCAACGAACTTAGCTGTGCCATATAAAAAAAATCCGCAGCTTTAAGAAGACACTGTGCAATTTCGGGGAAATTTTGTCCAACTACAACTACACAACTGGGCCACTTTCAGCAAGAATATTGCGAAAAGAAATTGGACAACTTTAGCGCTGAAACTTTAAAATAGCTTCCTATTACAAACTATTANTATAGATTAAAGTTAAAATGTTAAATCAATGTAAAAATCCCAATAAATCAATATGCTTAGGAGCCTTTACATTTTTTCAGAATTAGTGACATGACCATGGGCGTGGCCTGATGACGTCATCACTGATGTTACTGATAATGAAAAAGTTAAGACACATGAAATAACTAAAAATGACAAGGTTATATGAGAATAAATTTTCTTTAGCAACAGCTCAAAAAGATCAGTTAATGGGCCCTTGTATATGAAGTAGCAGTAATTGGTCAGCAATCAGTGCCATTTCATTTGCAACAGTCGGCCAATCAGAATTTGCTGTACGCAGTCTAAACATTCAAGTAGACTGAAAGAACTTTGCAAAAACTCTCCATGCAATAAAGCATCCTGAGAGCAATACAAACTTGAACTGACAGTCGAAAATCAGCCAAAAACTCTTGATAAACTATGTCAGATCACCCGATTCAACCTTAGGACAGAGTTTTTT